ATTAGCACAGCAGAAAGATGAATCAATAGAAAATTGTCAATAACAACAAGTAGGTAATATATACTTAAAATTTTGCAATAAATATCATTCAATAGTTGAGATCATGAGTCAATTGAAGCTAGACCATAATGGAAAACCTGGAAGCAATGGACGGTCGTTTTACCAAAAATAAAAATAATTTGTTTCAAAAGTGAATGAAATAAAATAGTTATGATATGTAAGTCATGAAGTATTTTTCTTTTAAAGAAAAATCAAGCTAGTCATCTGTTCAACGATTAGATGAAAATATTTCAAGAAACTTGTATCCAGTAAAATCAATGGGAAATTTCTAAACATGAATTTATAACTATTACAATGAAGTATACATATAGAGATTTACACTCTGAATAACGATAGGGTTTAAGGGAAGTTGATGATATAATAATAGCAGTAATAATAATAATAATAATAATCCATTTACAATGATTAGATTATTTTCACTTATTTTTTTAAAAGTACATGCATACTGCTCATTTAAAAACCATAATTTTTTAATGGGAAAAAATGATAAAATACAACAGAATTGAATTAATCTACAAACTAGACACTGAATTTTTATCAAATTGTAATATCAACCGACCAAAGGGTGGTCCTAAATGTGATATATATGTATAAGTATTTTTTAAATATTAATACGCGAATAAGCCTTTATAAAAACATTCATATGAATGAACAAATTATATATATATATATATATATATATATATATATATATATATATATATATATATATATATATTATAATGTGCCATCGAACAATAAGCTATCAACATTTCCTATGACAACCTATATTCATGATAAAAAATTTGACGCATATTGTCGCCAATATCTCCTTTCAGGTAATACTAGATAACCGACCAAAAAAATGAGCGGCGCCTGATTAGATGTATCAGTTATAAACAATAGAAATAAATATACATTTATCCATTTACAAAGTGATAGCCATCATACAAGTAATCCAGTATGTTATAATGCAAACCTAGACAGAGATTCACGCCAATCTTTAAACCGGAAAATAGATTAAATAATTAATTCATGCACCTGTCTACTCTCTCTCGAAATATATATATATATATATATATATATAAAGATAATATAAAGTATTTAGAGGAAGAAAAATAGAGAAGGAAGCAACTAAAAGCCATTATAACGACCACCCAAATGAGAGACCAACAATTGATCTAATCTCCTAATTTGCAATCAGACCACAATGAAAAATGACATGGAAAAGTCAATTTCAAAATGAATTTCCAATGATAATTACACTAATAATGAATAATGTCATAAACTGATGAGATAATTTTTAAAAAATCACAATTTTGATTGAAAGTGAAATGATAACAATAACCTTTGATGAACCAACTATTACATGAATTGTACGACATATAACTCAGTTATTTAAAAAACTAGGTATTTCTAACATTTTTTAAAAAAAAAATAGCTTCTTCCATAAGTAAATATTAAATGAGAATGCATAGAAACTGTTCGTAAGATTCCGAATATTTATTTGTTCTAATACTATCAACAGTAATCAGAATTATATGTTAATGTTCATGACTGTTTAATAAAAAAAGCATGGGGTTCATACTTTCTTGAATAAAACCAATGATTTTTAAATGTACATCATAAACCCTCTTGACAACTGCAATAATATTTTATCAGTCAATCTTGTTCAAATATATTTTATTAAGATATCTATATGGCACGTTATCAATGATATACTGTATTAAACATGATTGATTTTTTTTAGCAAAATAAGACCATTACCAGTGATTTATGAAGTGATATCTGTGCAAATTATATATATATATATATATATATATATATATATATATATATGAGTAATAAGTTAAATTCCTTTCACCCCATGGTTTACGTTAATTTTGAAACTAAACAATAGTTAATTCTCACGATATAAATTTGGTAAAATAACTTTGTAAGCAGTCCACAAGTATTATTTTAAATAAACAGAATTTATACGTTATTAATATGTCAATTATTCAAGATTGTCACAAGCTATTTAAATTGAAAACTGATTGATTAAGCAACAAATTTACACAAATGTATGAAGTTTAAAATCTAGATTTTCATTTGATGATTGAAAGATATCTTTTCGGTTCAAGAGAGAAGGGCCTATGCAATCTTATGATATGTATGCCTTTTCATAACCGAACGGGTACTGAAATTTTATTTTAAACTATTGAATTAGTAAACGAAGTGAACGACGAGCAATCCAAATCACCATCTTACAGAAGTTTTCCTCAAACAGCTTTGCTATACGTACTTCGTATAAAAATAGGGGCATGAGTTAGCAAATGTATTCACCGCAGTCACGGATATTGAGCCCATTAACAAACAAGTGGCAATTATTTCTTATGAAATAAGTGAAACCAAGTGGTGGCACAGCTTTTCTAAGCATCATACCACCGACAACACCGAATAGTGCGGGCACTTCAGTACAGTACCAACCAACTAATCTTACTTCTTTGCATAACCGCCCCAACATCAAGAGAAAACTCAATGTGTTGAGCTGAAACTAATCAAATCACTTGATAGAAACAGTCTCAGTTACTAATATGTAACAAATACACACTTATTCCAGCTATATACCTGATCAGTCAGTACCAGTGTATGGCCTGACAGGAAAACATTTGACTATCATCAGTATGTGATTGTGCAGATTGTTGAATTTTACTGAGATCATGAAAAGACCCAAGTTAAGTAACTGATCCAATCAGGGAATACTGGTCAACTGTTTTATCCTAGTATGAGACCCCTCAGCAGTGCGCATCCAAGATCCCGCACGCGGGAATCGAACAAAGGACCTTCAGTCTCATAATGCTGTGTCACGCTAGGACGGAACGCTCATAAACTGATTCCAGATTTCTAATGATGGTCTCACTTAGATCTGCTTATGATTTCAATGAAATTCCGTTAAATTCTTGCGAACACACGAGGACTGAAAGGATCAAGACTATTTCCAACGAAGTTAGGATCTTCACTATCAAGGACAGAAAAATGGATGGTAATGGCAACCAGTTAGAACGAGCACTTTATTATGAAAAAGTCCAAGTATGAAGATTGTCTATAATGATCATTTACGATAGTGGAATTCTTATCTTTTACTTCATCCATATTACAATATTACGAACCAGAAACATCCCAATAAATATATATACTTTGATAGCTACCAACATCTGTAAAAATTGTCTTACGTAGTCACAAGCATGTGAAGTAGGTATGAAAGCTTCTGACCTATCTCACCAGAAATTTACAGATGACAAACATGCAATAGCATGCCTTTCAGGAAAGACTAAAATTGGATCACTCTAAACTCGCCGCTTATTTTTCTTGAATTAAGGACTAAGGGAGAAAGGCTAATAGGAAATTCCAGGCTCCTGTTTAGGTTGACGATGACAAAAAAACCAGTAGTTCATTTATTTCATATTATTGAGTAAATTCCACTGTCATATACAATGTAGATAATATTAAGCATCATAATCACAATCCAGGATTATGTAGGCCAGTAAAAGACTAACTGGCAAAATATGCTTGATATAATGTCCATGAACATAAGATAAATGAACAAAACTTCGTACGTATATAAATCAACGCATTACGAGTAGAAGCATCACATAATGACGGCATGACTAAAGTGTCATAATTCAAATTATTAGTAAAACAACTTTGATTCCAAGATCTCACTAGCTAATCTACGACGAAATATAACTAACAAGACGAATATTTAACATTTTTATGTTAAATGAGACCTTTGTTCAACTACAATCAAGCTAATTCTTTCTTGGCTTAGATTAAACCCTGCAAACCGAATATTGAATTCCTTTTGTCCATAAGTAAATGCTCGATTCTACTTTGAAATGAGGGTAGCCATGAAAGAACGCCCTGCTAAATGCATAGTGTTGATAGGACAGGCAGCATAAACATGGACCTTAAAATACTTGTACTTTAAGTATCTTCCAATCCAGTCACGAAAGAAAATAACTAAGCACGGCACTATTATTTTCTACACAAGCAGATGACCGAAATGCTTGTACTGAATATTAGTGACCACACCCATTGAACATTATCTCTGACCTAGCCTACAAGTTGTGGAATATACTTTAAGCCGACTAGTTATGATTATAACTTGACACACTATCCCAACTTTAATTCGCCGAGATATTTAGCAAATAAATGATAACTGTCGATAATACATGTAAACTAGACACCAAATAAATCACCTGGTATTTTGCTTGGCCTATAAGTCTATTCTAATACCCATGCATACGCGGAATGTTGCTTAAATCATATTGTGAAATCAATACACTCAGCAAACCCACTCAATAATCTTTTATCTAGAAGAATGTCATAAATGATAACGGATGCAATAAACATCGTATAATTCAGTGGAGTTAATTTTACTCGAACTTTTTAGACCTAGACAGGGCCAGCATACGCGGTGAATCTGGTGGGTTGCTTGCACAAAACGCGTGGCACGTTTTGGAATAATGTAAGACTGGTATTCAGAAATATAAACCGGTCAGCTAAGTGAAGTCGGCCAAGTGCCGGGACCAGAGTATCTCTACGCACTCCCCAGTTATTCCTAGACCTAATAATGAGACAAACCAACATACCTTAGAAGGGAGCAACCTGGCACTTCGGCTTGATTGTCATTCAGGTTGACTTGGTAATATCGGAAGCAATCGTGAAGCCTGTTCAAAAATAACATTCTTAAAGGACATAATACAACTAATAAGCCACCAGAGAACAAGCGGCTAAATCCCTTAACAAAATGAGAGGGAGATATCAAGTTCAAAGCCTTTACAACTAGCAGTAACTCCCTATGAACCTAAGAATGAATGAGACACCAGGAAACGGCCACTAACAGCTATTTCCTACAAAGTGCCTGAGACAAGTAGATACATACGAGTGCTCACCCATGAAAAATCAGAAGTCATGTTCCGAGGTTAGCTATATTTTATTCAATTAGCTTCAATAGCTTCTTTGCCAGATACATATATACCATCAAGGAATTTACGAATATCCTTATGTCTGACCTTGCAGGACTGCTGAATAAGGGCAGCTAAAAAAAGATTACTTACAAAAGCTTGAAACTTACCACATTTTGCCACTTTTTCAATATCATTGCCCTCAACCTGAATTTCATCTTTCACTCCAGTGGCGGAGATTTTTACACCTGGTTCCATAGGTACGAGTTTGTTGGCTTTCTCTCCTAAAAAGTTGCGGATCTCCAATTTGGAACCATCGTTGGATGGAATCATGTTGATGGGGAAGTGGGCATAAACGGATTTCAATTTATAACGATATCCAGATGTAACACCTTTTATCATATTTCCAATATGGGAACAGACTGTTCGGACAGCAGCCAGCTCTTTCCTGTTGCCGAAATACTTCGTTACAACAATCTTTTTTGAGAAAACTTTGATGTCTAGGGATAAATGACCGAAGTCGCGTTTCAGTGACCCACGAGGACCTTTGACGTAAACCACTCTTTTAATGGCCTTTACTTTTATGCCTGGAGGCACCTTCACAGTTTCGGACGATTTGATAATTTTCATTATGTATAAAGACTGGAGAGAATGAAAGGAACACACAAGGAATATCAGGAGACGTAGTCCGTCTTAAAACACACGCGCAGCAACTGCAGCAACCGCCAAAAGTACCCGACAATCTTGAAGCGCTACGATTTCAATAGTTTCAAGAAAGACTAACAGCAATAGACAATGTCCGTTTTAACCCCTACCATCTTTGAGTTATTTCCGTTATAATAAGGGAAAGTTGGTAAGCAGTAAAAAGGCCATTAAAATTTTTCAGTCTATCCTTAATTACAGTGTTCAGTCTTCATTAACTCAGTTGACCTGTTTTAGCTTTCGCAATTGTGATGAAAAAACAGAGTCAGACTTTGAGTTTGCTGAACAACTGATTTTGCGGGAATATGCCATGGAAAACAAGTCCATAAAATAAATAGTTTTATAAGTCTTAAACACTGATGATGACTTCATTAATTTCACTGGACACGTTCATGACTGAAAGTTCTTGGTCAAACACCCATACCTGATAAAATCTGGGTACTACTACTCAGCTTAGATCCCACCACCCACCACGAATCGATCACTATTGAGATGTCTTAGAATCCCTTCTGTTTACCCTGGTTTTGGAGATCTTTGTATCCGAAAGTAACAGGTGAAAGTGTTGTTATGCTCTATGATCCCGTGTTTATTCGTTCGTGAACCCAATGTGATCTGATACACCAAATGACAAGCTTTGAGTCTGCCTCCTGTGGTAGTTTCTTATAAATGTTTTCATATATTGTTACATTACCTTTATGTTCTAAAATGTTTCGTATATTTATATTTTTCATTTTCATCAAGCATTTAAACTTTTCGACATCATGACTCCTAGGTTGTCATCCCTCAAATAATTATAGTCTGCGCAGATAGTATCGAGGCCTTGTTTTGCCATGCACAAGCTGATTTACGCGAGCCCAGCATGGTCGAATCACTGGTGCAGTTGCATCCGGTACTAAAAACACAAATTTGTGAATTTGACAGAGAGGTTACATTTAGAATGTTTGCCAGTCGTGTTTCTAAGCCATATGGGACTTTGAAATAGGTCTCCCTAAAACGTGGAAACCTGGTCGATCGATAAATTTCATACAAACCCTGCCATAACATAAAAATACAGTACAGGTAAGGAACATAAATGTTTCCACAACTGAGAAAAATGATTTGTCAGAGAACCTTGGACGCCGGTCTTTGTAGACAGCCTCAGACAGTGCATGTGGTTCTTTTCACTCCAAGACACTGCTGCTGATAAAAAAGCTGGATATGCTGACCGGACTCTGGGCAACATTACAATCACTAGTGTCATCGGAGAAAAACCCGAGTTGACCCAAAACCAGACTAGAGGCATATGTGCTACTCCCACTCGTCCTCTGAACTTTTAGGACAAGCCTAAACGAACCACATCTAGTCAGTGAGGCCCATGGCACAAAAGAACTGTTGCTAACGCACGAGAAACAGACAATCATAAACGGCCTTAATGCTACAACACCAATGGCATGTCATCCGGAAATTGCAGTAAACTGTACAGTTTACTCAAATTAGAACCTATTGAATCGACAAACTTTCCGGCATAGGTTCAAGACGGTCATAAAAGCAAGACATAGACCCCTGTTATATTCCACAAATGTGGTTATGAAGGTCCTCAGTCCCAATACAGAGGCACAAATGAGCTGCGTTTCCATAATTCCTAACTTTTGTGTGAAGACCCTGTCTTCAATTTAAAATCAGTATATGAAAAATTTACTACCCCGAGTTATAAAATGTATGCTTCCTCTAACGTGAGTTTATGCGAATCCATCCACTGTATCCTTGTTGTTTTAGACATGTTGGCTTGCTGAACCGCAGCAGACTGTTCGTCAACCCGAGTAAACAGAAGTTACCGAACGAAAACATTAAACCAGCGCAGATCTGGGTACACAATGGTGCCCATCTTTTACAACTACTACTCAGCTAAGGTTCTGTCCACTACTATAAATCTATCATCATCAAGATGTCTTTGATCCCCTTTATTCTCGACTTCTATTTGACCTGATTTTGGAGATCGTATTATGAGAATAATTTCCAGAGACAGTTTTGTTAAACTTTGCGATCGTCTGCAATTTTTCCTTATGTTGTGAACTCAAAGATGACGTACCATGGGAAGTGATAAAAGATATGGTTCGTTAACCTCGAAATCAATATTTAAGATGCAGAATGCTAAGATCAGTTAGTATCCTATAGTAAGTTAGACGAGAGACTAAGACGCCTTAATTGGTCATTTTATGTGAGGATGGAGAGATTTGTGGTGTCCTCGATTGCTTGGAGGAAAATATGGACTGAATATATTCTCTGGCTATGGTCAGATGTTCGATTATCAGAAAAGCTGTTTGCATATGGCTGGTTATCAACCCAAATATACTGCTCCGATAAGGAATACAACATACTTCACACCAAACCTCCATATTTTAGGTCTTCGGAGCAAAATTTCCTAAACACAGACCAATAACAATATGAAACCGAAGGTTTCCAAGGCAAAATTTATACACACAGCTCCAGCGTTGGATTAGAATAAATATGCTAAAAAAACTGTGAAATCAGTTATTATTTACTTACTTTCAGTTACTCCTGTAGCAGTACGTCTGAGCTATTAATGCGACAGCTGATCTCCTTCAGGACCTGTACTGCATTGATCACTGTCACGTTTGTCACCACATTGATTTTCTTCGTCTAAATATATACTCTTAAGTCAGTTGATTCGTTTATTACCTCTGAACAGAATCACGTTTTATGTTTGTCAAGATCACGTTTATCTTTGACAAGTAACTAGTTTTGGGTTCTTTAACAATTTCTTTATTCGATACATTGGAGATCTACTTGAACACATTATATGGAGTGCTTTGTTGGTCAGAAACTCAGTTGCTTGGTGTTTTGTAAATCGTATACTTGCACTCAGGCTTGAAAAGTCCCATACATATCACCGAAACGCTTTTGCTCTATTTAAAGGTGATCAAATGATACAACATAACAGAAGCCTTGCAGATAAGTAGACTCAGATCCCCAAGAACTGTGCCGTTAAACTTAACCATCAGCTCGCTTGAAGTGACCAATAATGTAACACATTTGATCCCCCCCGAAAAATGATATGCCTCGTGTAACTTATTGTTGTCTGAAAATAATATGTTATTACTAATATAAATAACTATTTTTTCACCTCTCGAGTACCAGTATTTCATTAGAAGACAGATTGATTTTAGTCGTATATCATTCCAGACTCCTTATTCCTATGGTACGTCTTAACTTCAAACTAACTTCAAATTCACTGAAATTACAATACGACCACAATTCCCGTTGTGTAGTTGAAGATGGCACATGTATTCAGTGCTTGACAACGCTTTTACCAGTAACATCTAATATAACTCGTACCCACCAAGAAAAATCAAAAGACAGAATCGAGGAGGTCGGAAGAGTGTATTTAGCGATAACCAATATATCGGAAATCTCTGATCTAACCTGGCTAGCGAATGTTGAGCACGGCGTTCCCACACATGATCTGGTGCGGTTGCATGACCGAGCGCCTTCAGCTAGGTGAGTCCACTAAAACATGTGGTCAGCATCCAATGTCGAAAACTTACAGAGCTATTTATTTTGGGGATTTATTTACCGCTACATAGTCTTACTCATGACTCCTCCAGTAGCTCTTCTAAAATTACTGCCGGTCCCAAGCCATGGTAAACCATTAAACTCTGGCCTCCAAGTTCAAGAAACAATTATGACACCTTATGATCAAAGCCCAGATTCCCAAAAAATCATGAGTCCGATGCACCACCTAACAACCAGAACAACAATCAACATAGATAAATGGGATATCCGTACAATGTAAGCGATCGAAGGGACCAACCGAATAGCTGCAGTAATGATGAGATACAACTCGGTAGAAGTCGGAACCAGTGAAACCCATTAAACCTTGCCTGGACAACAAAGGTTAGTTAAGGGAGAGCTGCTGTTGTACTGTGGTCACGAAGAAGATAATGCTCTACGCACTCAGAGAGGTGCTCAAGGAAATGTTGTCCAAGGAGGCACGAATCGCACTTATAGGAAGAAAATCTCATGGATCCAGGATCATCAAAGCATCTTTCAAAACAAAGAAGAACTGTATCACAGTTAATGCTATCTAATGTTATGCACAAACCAATCATAGCAATGAAGACGATAAATGTCAGTTCTACTTGAGGCTGCAGTCGATCATATCGAAGTGCGCAGGAAACAACATGACAATTCTGATGGCAGACCTGAACGCCAAAAACCGGAATGGACAACACCGGATATGAAGATAACATGGGATGACATGGACTGACTAGAAGAAAGGAACCAGAATGACGTGATAGGTGGCACAATATTCCGAAACAAAAATATACACACATTTAAATGGGTCTCACCGCATTATACCACGGAGAACCAGATAGATCATATATGTATCACTAAAAAATCCAGAAGGACAAGGGAAGACGTGAGAATCAGGTGAGGAGCTGATATAGCTTCACATCACCACCAGGTTGTGTTCAAGATGAAACTGAAGCTAAATAAACACTTTACAACTGGGGAGATGGCAGTATAAAGGTTCAATACAGCCTCTCTACGAGATACTACGAAACTCAATCGATTCAAGATAACTCCCAACAACAGGTTCCAAGCTTTTCAGGATCAACTGGAAGTAGAGGAAACTACTATAGAGGATGACCGGAAAGGGATCAAAGAAGCATTAACGTCAACTTTTCAGGAGTTGCTCAGACGCAACAAGCATCATCATAATGAATGAATTTCTATGGAAATTCTGGCCAAGATTGAGGAAAGGAAAAGTAAAACCGTAGCAACTAATAACAGACAAACAAGAACAGAATAATTCAATGCACAAGCTGAATACAGAGAATCAAATAAACGAGTAAAGAGAAGCATTAGTGCCGACAAGCCGAAATACGTTCAACACTTAGCGACGACAACGGAAACAGATGCAAGAGAAGAAAATATGAAGCAGCTATATGACACAACGAGAGACGAGCGGAGAAATATAGTAAACGAGAGAGACCGATTAAGAACTGGGAAGGCATGACAATCATCGAGATTCATTAACAGAAGAAAAGATGAGTAGAATAACTCGAAGAACTTTGGAATAAACCAGTTTCATTGGATCCAACGGACATTGATGTAGCACACAGACCTTCATATAGATGTCACTCAAACAACGAAGGAAGATATCAGGATGACCCGCCATCAGACAAATCGAGAACGGGTAGGCAACATGACCTGTAAATATACCAG